ACAGTAAATAATATTTTACTAGATGTTTTTCAAGACAGTTCTATACAGCTTAAAGTGACATTTTAAAGGTTTAACTAGGTTAATTAGGTTAACTAGGCAGGTTAGGGTAATTAGGCAAGTTATTGTATAACAGTGATTTGTTCTGTAGATTATCGAGAAAAAATATAGCTTTAAGTGACTAATAATTTTGTTCCTAAAATGGTGTTTAAAAAATTAAAACCTGCTTTTATTCAAGCCGAAATAAAACAAATAAGACTTTTTTTTAGAAGAAAAAATATTATCAGACATACTGTGAAAATTTCCTTGCTCTGTTCAACATCCTTTGTGAAATTTTAAAAAAAGAAGAAAAAAGTTCGAAGGGGGCTAATAATTCTGACTTACACTGTATGTTTTGCTGGGAAGATTTTCTTTTATTCTTAATTTTGTTCAGTCAACTGGTCATTTTCATTAAATGTTTGGTTTTATGACCTGATGCACTTATTATTGAATTAAATGATTAAAAGTAATGCCATTCACTAGATAAATTTGTGTTTTTCTTCACTTTTGCTCAGTGAGCTGTAATCCTCTTATATTTTGATAATTTTTTTCATTGGAATATTTAGTAAATAATTATGTAATTAATATATTAGATCAATTGTCTACACTTTACACTTTGTTTCTCAATGTTTTTTTTATCATCTGGTACTTTTGTCATTTTAGTTAAAACGTTTTTTTTTGCTGCATCTATTGCTATATGAATGTTGTGGTTGGCAATCTTTAGTTGGCATAAAGTAGACGTATTTCTTTGTTATGAAATGGTCCTATATAATGTGAATATGAAATCATATAAAGTTGTGCGAAATAGACACTTTTTTTTTGCCAATACATAAAATAGTTACGTTTTCTTGTTAGACATTACTTTTGACATTCATTGTTAAAAACAGACCCCACAGACACAGAAAATTAAACCTTAACCTCAATCTCATGCAATTCGTAACTATTTGGCTAATTCGTATGAATTTTTTATTATTTGATTCATACATTTTAGTAAGAGTTACTCATCCCCCAGTGATGGTTGGGTTTAAGGGTGTGGTTTGGGAGCGTGCCTTGTTTTGAAAACAATATGTTTGCATATATCTGAAATTGTAGAAATTTTTCGCCAATACATAAAATAGTTTCGTTTTCTTGAGGCATTAATTTTGACATTCATTGTTTAAAACAGACCCTACCGAAAAATTAAACCTCAACCTCAAATACTCATTTTATATAATTATACAACACAGTTTCTTTTGTAAGATTGGGTGTGGGAGCGCGCCTCTTAAAAATAATATGTTTTCATAAATATGAAATCATAAAAAGTTGTACGGAATAGCCACTGTTTTGCCAACAAGGTTATAATAGTTTTGGATTTTTTATTAGTTTTAGTTTATTTTTCATTTTCTTCGACTTTTTGTTTTCAAATTCAGTTTGTTTTAATTAGCTTTTAGATTTACTAGTCTTTATTAGTTTCTATATTTTGAAATCGCTTGGTTTTAGTTTAGTTTTTATTCGTTTCAGTATTAGTTTATTTATTTTTTCTAAATAAGGACATTTGTTAGGTGCAAGATTCAAAATCAATAGAATAAACATTGTATAATAAAAACTCATACATTTTCTGAAACCTGTATTTAGAGGACACATGAACACTATCATCCACTAATACCATCTACCCATCCTCAAATTCAAACATAACAGCCCACAAGATAGCAACCTTAAGTACAATATGTGTGCAAGGCTGCTTTGAGGTTAGATAGACAGTAGTGATGGGAAGTTCAGATATTTAACGCGGATGTTAGGACTTAACATACCAAAATTATGTAGTCCGCAATAGTCATTTCAGTCAGTTAAAACATCACCTTGATCTGAAAAATGTCATATAGTAAAGTTTTGCAACCCAACTTAATCATGATTCACTTATATAAATTCTATTACAATTTTCTGTTAAAAAATAAACTTAATTTTTTCACCAGATCCTCTCATTTAAGCCCCCTGTTTACCCGCAGTGCTGTTGTTTAAGTTTAGTTCAGTCACAGCAGACTGCCATGTACTGTTTGTGTTTAGTTCACTGAATCACGCATGCGCAGTATTATCGGTTCACCGCTTTTCAAATTTGATCTTAGTGTAACGTTACTGTTCTAATAACTGAATTAGAGTATATTCTGGATTATTTAGAGTTAGAGGGGGGTATTAGGCTTGTTATAAAGCAAGTAGTTGGTGGAGATACAAATCGTTTCAAATGATTTTGTTCGTTTTGGTAAACTAGTTCAACCGGTTCACTAAGAAGATCCGGTTAAAAAGATTCGTTCGTGATACAGAAATAATACCCATTATTGGGCACAAATGTGTTAAATTAATAGTTTTAAGTGTCTGTATTCAATTCTGTCACCGTGCTGCTGTCATGTCCACTCATTGTTTTTGTCGCGGGAGCAACAGCGAGAACTGACTGTAGGAGAACCGGCTCGATCTGGCCAATAACAGGATGATAGACACTGAGGTGCGAAAGGGTTAAACACCTGCAGCACGAATTATATTTACTTCTAAAAAGCTTACAGTAAGATTATGTATCAAATACATTTACTAATACGAAAAACAAAGCAGGTTTGTGCTATTATAGTTTCAGTTAGTCCTGTATGTACACAGTACAGTTTCAGTTAGTACTTTATTTTTATTTCAGTTGACAATTATTTTAAATTTGAGTTTTCGTTTTCTCGTTCGTTTTCGCTAACTGTAATTACCTTGTTTGCCAATACTTAAAGTAGTTACGTTTTGTTGTGAGACTTTACTTTAGACTTGCATTGTTTAAAACAGACCCTAGACGATGAAAAATGAAACCTCAACTACTCCTTTTATATGATTATACAACACAATCTCACAGATATTTGTAACTTTTGGCTAATTTGTACGATCTCATTTGTACATTTTAGTTCAAATTACTAATCCCTCAATGACGGTAGGGTTTAAGGGTAGGGATTGGGGGCACACCTTTTTAAAAAATGTGTTTTTCATAAACATGAATATAATATTTATATATAATTTATATATAATTATATATAATTGTATAAATTTGTACGAATTAGCCACTTTTTCACCAATAAATAGAATAGTTAGTTTTCTTGTGAAATTATCTTGAATTAAATGATCGAATGGCAAACCGTATTGTGGCACTGTTGAACTACGAGTTCATGATTGACAAACAAACTTCACACCATGGCTTGATAATGCAGCTACTCATATAAAGTCTCTGGGTTTTAGTTTATTAGACCAAGGTCATTGAGAGTCAAAAATCAAAGTAATTTCTTCAAATCATCCCTCAGGTCTCAGTATATTTACCCTCCGAACAGCCATTGAGGTATCAGTTGTCCTGAGCTGCGCTATCTTGCTAAATTAGCCATCTTCAACACGATAAACCCCAAAATCCTAAGAAGCTCACATCAGCAGGCAAGAAGAAACACTTGTAGACTCCATAATCCTAGACTGTCTTTGCTTTTTTCTGTCAAAATGGTTTCAGAATAAATGTACCATGCAAGTTTGACAATCGACGTAATTCCAGGCAATTTTGAGGTCCTTGAAATCGCGAAAGCAGATCTTATTTTGCCAGGTCTCGTCTATGGCATTTGAGTGAATTCTAATCTTATACTCTTAACAAAAAAATCTTGAGTTGTTTTAACACAATTTAGGGTAAAATATGGACAGAACCCAGTAGAAATTAAAAATTCAGATCAGTTTAAAGGGATATTCCACCCAGAAAGGAAATTGTACTCAAGTGGTTTTAAATGTTTCAAATGTTTTTGATTTTCTTTTTTTTCTTCTGATAAACACAAACCAATTTATTTAGAAGAAAGTTCCGTTTACATTCTTTCTAGGACAAAAAAACAAAAAACAAACAAAACATGCATGGAAGTTAATATCTGCCATTTTTGATATAGAAACGAGCAAGTTTGTGACAAGTGAAGGGTCAGTAAATTAATGAATTTTCAGTTTTGGGTGAACTATCCCTTTAATACAATTAAATTATTCATACAGTGACTCTCAAACCTAACAGTTTTGTTCTGGAATGAAACTGACACAAATGTTCTGCTTTGACTTTGTTTGGAATAATTTCCATTGGCAAAACAGAAAAAAAAACAGACCATAACGGGTGTGAAATGTCTTTCTGTTATTGAATTATCACATAAAATCAACATCACTATTTAATCTTTGCTCCAAACATTTAAATATTCTTACATTTACAATTGATCTACTTAAAGTGATGGTTACCCAAAAATGTACATTTATTCGCCCTCATATTTATTCTGTTGTGCACAAAAGGAGATATTTTGAAGCATGTTGGAAACTGGTATCCATAAAGTCTTCCAGCATTTTCTTTCTAATTTGGGTGTCATTGGCTGCCAGTCTCCAATATTCTTGAAAATAAATTATTTTAAAATAAATTCATAAAGGTTTGGAACAACTTGAGGCTGAGTCTCTTTAAGCAAAGTTATTTAAGAAAAAAATTCTAAAAAATACATTTTAAAATATGTATTATTTCTTATTCCAACTCAAATAATTTATTGCTTTAAACCAGAAAAATCTCTGCCAAAAATAAAACAAAAACCCATATTTTACTTAAATTTGTTTTAAAACAACCAAGCATGTTTTGAGTTATGTCTTTATGAGATCCCAATAAAACATTGAAACATTCACCCATGTTTTTTTACATTGGTTGTCAGATTTTATCTATGGACTGAATGTACTCCTTGGCCTTTATCCTCAAGTCCCTAAAACAATCAAGCATTTGTTTAGAGTGTAATGTCAGTCCTTTATGAGATCCCAATAAAACACCGAAATGTTGACCGTTTTTTGCCAGGTTTATCCTCGGACTGAATGTGCTCCTTGGCTTTCATTTTCAAAGTCTTTAAAACAGCCCAGCTTTTTTTGCAGTGTAATGTCATTCCGGTCATTTCTATGAGATTCTAAATACATCGAATTGTTCACCCATGTTTTTTTACATGGGTAGCCAGGTTTTATCCATGGACTGAATGCACTCCTTGGCCTTCATCCTTAAAGTCCCTAAAACAACCAAGCATTTTTTACAGTAATGTCTATCCCCTCATTGCTATGAGATCCCAATAAAACATTGAATAACGTTCTCCATTTTTACATGGGTTGCCAGGTTTTATCCATCGACTGAATGTGCTCCTTGGCCTTCATCCTCAAAGCTGCGATACTAGAACTGCGGTCGACGTCTTCCAGCGGGTATTTGTCATTAAACACTGGTTGGCATTGGTAGGGCGGTGGTGGCATTGGCTGCATATTCTGCATCATGCCTGGAGACGTGTTGAGAAAGCCAGGGTGAGCAGTATAGGTGGGCTGGAGGCTCTGTCCAGGACCCATAAACCCCGGGATGCTGTGCATTGGTGTGGCACTGGACAGTGGCGAGGACAGCCAGGGGTCCAGCGGGAGAGAGTTAGACATAGGACCCACATTTGGTGCCATTGGTGGTCGGTTGAAGGACCGTATGGGTGAGTCGTGGAGCTTCATGGTGCCCGTGTCCATTTTTTCTTGCCTTCGCCATTTTGCGCGCCGATTCTGAAACCACACCTGTATGACGAAAGTGGAGATACTGTGTTAAAATCATATTTATTTATTCACTACTTTAGTTATATTTGTGCTGGGCTAAGATTAATTGCAAGCAATCTACTGTAGGGTGTCTGCGGGGTCTTAAAGGTTCAGAAAACACTTAAGTACTTTTTTTTTTTAGATTTTAACAGATTTGTGTGTGTGTTGAGCATCAGTTAAGACAATGTTAGCACCTGTCAGCTTTAATTGTGAGAAAAACTGGATAATTTTGAGCTTTTGTCAGCTAATTTCAGCTTCCGGGTTTAAAATTATTTCTGAGGTGGATCAAAATCGGCGACGTAGCACAAAACTGCAAGTGCAAAGTCGTCGGTTTCTCATTAATATTCATTCATTCATTCATTTTCTTGTCTGATTAGTCCCTTTATTAATTCGGGGTCGCCACAGCGGAATGAACCACCAACGTATCCAGCTAGTTTTTCCGCAGCGGATGCCCTTCCAGCCGCAACCCATCTCTGGGATTATTAATATTCATAGCGGAGTTTTCTTATCCTATAAGAAGAGCCTGCTACTGTGACAGCACACAGTATTTAATATTCATGAAGGGTCATATGTGTTTGTTTCCATGATCCACGGAGTTTGTTGCATGTTTTTCCCAGCGATCCTGTCAGTGCCGATACAGCAAAGATGTTTGTGTCCAGCGAGCATTTTTGTCAGGAGAGCAGTACGAGAATTGGAGAATGGCGGACGTTGTCTTTTATCAGGAGTTTGTTTACATTTAGCAGGGCTCGAAATTGCGATCATTTTGGTCGCATATGCGCCCGAAATTTTATTTATGCGACCTTAAAATATATTTGGGAGCATGTGTGCGAGTGCTTAAAATTGTTGTGTGCGACCAGTTTTTACTGCAAAATATTCACCACATGCGCGGATTTGGGAGATATTTACGCAGAATGCCTCTCTAAGCTCTTTGTCTGCAACTGAAACGCGAAACGCAGCGCTCAGGAATGGTTTAAAAGAGTTGTCATGTCAACTTGCTGCAGTAAACAAAGCCAGTTCCGTAATGATTGCCCCGCCTTCACGCTCTTCTTATTGGCCCACCACTGCTCTAGCACTGAAATATCAGCTGTCAATCACTCAGCCAGTGCCTTCTGGCTTGGGATGACAGAGAGAGTTACTACCATGAAAAATTGTAAAGCGCTGAAGATGAGAATGAAGATAACACTGACAGATTTTGTTTTAGAAACCATGACATCTAAAGTTACAAATAATGACACATCTTACTAGTGACCATGTGCTGAATGTTAATCCACCATCTACACTTTTCGAAGAGTGGATAAAAGACTTAAGTTGGCTTCAAGTCCGCTATGAAAAGTCTGTGGGATGGAGTTTTCAGGTAACTGTTTGCCACATCTAGCACGAGAGCTTCTGTTTAATCCTTCATATAATCGCCAGATGCTCTCCGCCGTGCAAGGGCGTAAAATGTAACACCACGTACACCATCGCAAACGGGCTTACACTGAGTAAACTAAAATCGCTACTCATGAAGACCGGTATGGCTATTAACATGACGTAACGTTATGCATATAATAAGGCACAGTATATGTCAAATGCATCAGTGCAGTATCAGACAGCACTTGTGAGAACAGCAGAGTTATACCGTTAACAGATTCATTCAAGCAGTGTGTGCAGGGCCGATGAGCACTCCGTGTATGCTTTGGTCACTCAGTTCTGTTATGAAAATAGATTTTCTTGAGATAACGGGATTTTGTTGAGACATATTTTCCTCACGCTTGCAATCTATTTTTTTTGCTTGTTAGTTTGATTACTTTTGATTTCAAATGCAATAAATCTGTTTGTATACAACTTGAGTAATGGTGCTTATAATTGGTGGGTGCGACTAAATTTTGACACATCGCAGTGCTGCTGAGTTCACCTAAATCCTCCAGATTCCTCCAGAATGGTTGAAATAGGCTGGGCTGGAGACCTGCTGCACTGAGTCTGCATTCAGACCCGGGGATTAAGGGAGAAGTCCTCATTTATAGTGTTTATATGAACACGATTGTCTTTATATTTATATAAATTGTGGTAATCTGTATATGAAATTACGAATAACAAATGTCGCAGGACATTAAATTTCTGTTTATTTCTTAGCATTTTACCTTTGTAAACTATAAGATCATGGCTCTCCTCACAGTTTGTCTCGTTTTGTGAGTCGACTGACAACAGTTGTTCGCTTCCTTCCTTCTCCCCTGCTGGCCACACCCCCCCCTGCCTTTTGTGTGCGGAGCTCCACGCCCATTATGTTGCATCTCTTAAAAAATACGAGGTAGACCTGAACCGAAAGTGGGGAGTGTCATGGCCCTTTAACAGATGTGTGTGTGTTGAGCATCAGTTAAGAGAATGTTAGCACCTGTCAGTTTTAATTGAGGGAAAACTGAATAATTTTGAGCTTTTGTCTGCTGATTTCAGCGTCCGGGTTTAAAATGATTTTGGGGGCGGATCAAAATCAGCGACGTATCGCAAAACTGCAAGTGCAAAGATGATGCGTCGGTTTCTCATTAGTATTCATAGCAGAGTTTTCTTATCCTATGAGAAGAGCTGGCTTAATTATTCATGACTGCTTATGCTTTCCAAAGGCAAGACACAGACAGACCTGCCAGTGCCAAGCTGTTAGACTCTGTTGATGGCTGGGTGAGACTGCATCCACGGACCCACTGCACACAGTATTTAGCATTCATGAAGGGTCATATGTATTTGTTTCCATGATCCACGGGGTTTGTTGCATGTTTTTCACCGCAATCCTGTCAGGGCCGATACAGCAAAGCTGTGTGTGTGCAGTGAGCATTTTTTGTCAGGAGAGCAGCACGAAAATTTGAGAATGTTGGACTTTCTATTATCACTTGAGTTCGTTCACATTTCGTTCACAATTTTTACAGCAAGCTTGTTTAAACACATTCATAACGGCCTTAATTTTCTTTTGTTTATGTAAAGCGATTTAACAATACATCTCTATAAACGTTTAGCAAAACTATGTTTAGAACTAATATTATTACAGTCTTTAAAGTTTTTTTTTTTTTTTAAGCTACGTTGAAAATAAATCTATGTAAACAACTAGGGTCTGCTTGTCCGTAGTGTATGAGTGTGAATGAGTGTGTCTGGATGTTTCCCAGAGATGGGTTGCAGCTGGAAGGGCATCCGCTGCGTAAAATATATGCTGGATAAATTGGCACTTAACTCTGCTGTGGCGACCTCAGATTAATGTCTGAACCGAAAAGAAAATGAATGAATGAATGAATTTCTAAACGTAATAGTTTATAGTTAATACATTATAGTTTCAAGAGTTCACACTTAGCTGATGATTTATAAAAGCTTGTTTGGCATGCTGTCCCAGGAGAGAGCCCTGAGCTCAAGGGCTCCTCGAGCCCGGGGCTTCCTCCCGTTGGCAGAGCGAGAGGGGAGCCTGAGCTCGGTGGATCTCAGAACTCCCCTGCTGCGGTATAGGGAAAACAAGGGGTTAAACAAAAGCTTGGTTGTTATGTATGTTGAATGTCTTTGGATGGTGGGAGGAAACCGGAGAACCCGGGGAAAGCCCACATGGACAGGGGGAGAACATACAAACTCCTCACAGAAACACCCACCGGTCCAGTGGAACCAGGGCTGGCAGTGTTCTTGCTGTGGGGCTCACAGTGCTAACCACTGGGCCGCCGTGCCGCCCAGTCAGAGGCAAAGGAAGAGGATAGGGGAGGAGGGGGGTTTCTTCCAAACGAAGATAAAGTGAACTGAAAACTGTGGCTATTTATAGTAGCTTAGGGCTCCTATGATTGGAAGATAGTGATTAGCAAATGCGAAACCGGCCGTGATAAATCATAAGTAAGTGATCCTCTCGAAATTAGTTTATGAATAAACTTCACATATATAGCACATAATATTTGACAAGATATTTTAGTAGACACTAGTATTCAGCTTAAAGTGACATTTAAAGTCTAAACTAGGTTAACTAGGGTAAAGTTAGGGTAATAAGGCAAGTCATTGCATAACAGTTTTTGTTCTGTAGACAATCCAAAACATATATTGCATAAGTAGGCTAATAATATTGACCTTAAAATGGTTTTGAAAAATTAAAAACTGCTCTTATTCTTGCCGAAATAAAACAAATAAGACCTTCTCCAGAAGAAAAAATATTATGGGAAATACTGTGAAAAAAATCCTTGCTCTCTTAATCATCATTTGGGAAATATTTGAAAAAGCAGGGCTAATAATTTTGACTTAAACTGTATATTATAATGTTAAGTAACTTTTATAATAAAAATGAATGAAATGTGTTAAAAATTAACGTGAATGTATGTTATTTTCTCTTTTGCTTTTTAAAAGAATAAGAGGGGCTTAAAATTTAAGTAATCTAAAAATATATTGTACCAACACTATTTAACAAAGCTTTGTCTCATGTATTGAACAGGATTCTCTTCATTGAATCAGTACCCCTTGTTAAACATCGCCTTGTAATGCCCTATCAATCTAAGTCCATTACAAATAACCCCGATGTCAGAGTTGTAATGAAATTATTCCATTACATTGATCGCCGCGCCTCCACGCTCTCTTTAATTCCATTAAGTGTCCCGGCGCTCACCTGAACTCGAACTTCAGGCAGGTTGACTTTCATGGCCAGCTCTTCTCGACTGTACACGTCCGGGTAGTGGGATTTCTCGAAGGCGCGCTCCAGCTCGTGTAGCTGATAGGTGGTGAAGGTGGTTCTGTTGCGTCTGTGCTTTTTTTTCGGCTGATCCTCATCTGGGATGTCAGGGGAACGGCTGTCGCTCTCCACGTTGCTCCGCGGGTCTCCCAAATCTGCATCGCATTTGTCCGTGGAGAAAAGTCCGGTGTCTACAAAACAGGAGCGCCGGTTATAAACAGATGTAGATTTTTTTCAGGTACTTTTTGTAATGTTCAAGAAATAATATAATGCTGATGAGTTTTATTTTAATTATTCAGTCCATTCTGGTTGGTTGCTAGGGTGTTGTAGGATTTTTGGCTGGTTACTAAAGCACAGATTCAAGGTTGTTGCTACTATATTCATAGAAAGTAGCAAGTTACTAGTGTAACAGTTGTCTGTCAGACATGTTGATTGATCATCAGTCTGGTCGGTCTTTTCGGTCATCTAACCAGAGACTGTTATGCATCCCTAAGTCAAGACTGAAATGCAGAGGTGATCGTGCCTTCCAGTAGCTGGTCTTAGGTTGTTGAATGCTCTGCCTCTATGTATTAGATCTATTTCATCCCTGTTTGTTTTTAAATCTAGGTTGAAAAGTTACCTCTTTGATTTGGCATTTTATCAGTAAAAAATAGTTTGTTTTAGCTACAATTTATTATATAAATATGCACGAGGCCATATCACACTGCTACTCGTGTGATATTGCTCATATATATATATATATATATATATATATATATATATATATATATATATATATATATATATATATATGTATGTATATGTATATATATATATGTATATATATATGTATGTATATGTATATATATATATGTATATATATATGTATATATATATGTATATATATATATATGTATATATATATGTATATATATATATATATATATATATATATAAATAAATATATATATATATATAAATAAATATATATATATATATATATATATATATGAGCAATATCACACGAGTAGCAGTGTGATATGGCCTCGTGCGGCCTCGTGCCAACGCTTGCCTCCCACCAGTGCCGATATACTGCCATATCGCACTGCTACGAGTGTGATATTGCATTTATACAACAGTTTGATGGCATAATTGTGTATATAAAAACAAAATTAAACATGGAGAGTCTCAAAAACCCTATTGTATGAGGAACTACTTTCTTCCGGATTCAAATCATAAGCTGACAGTTAAACAGTTGTGCGTGCATCTTTTAAACTTTAGATCTATAGTGTCTGCTTTTTGCTGGCTGTATGTGGGCGGAGTAATACACAAAGGGTAAAGAGGCTGTAGGAGTTCTGATATTGCAGAATATCGCATGGCTATCAGCCAATCAGATTTGACAACCAGACAGAACTGTTGTATAAATATATATATATCAGGGCTCGAAATTGCGACCATTTTGCATTTTGCTCGCATATGCGCCCAAAATTTTGTCTATGCCAGCGGTTCTCAAACTTTTTTCATCAAGTACCACCTCAGAAAAAAAATTGTCTCTCCAAGTACCACCAAAATGAGCAGTATTAAAATACAGAAACGTAGTAGCCCTAGTAAAGCAGCTACAACTCCAAACGGTTAAAAAAATGTGGCAGATTACCTCAGAAATATAGGCTATATTTCATATATGGCATATTATATACATAATTTTTGATCAATTTTGAAATATATGTAGCATATACATGACATATTTCATTCCTCCGTGTACCACTAGAAGGAAGTCTGCGTACCACTAGTGGTACACGTACCACAGTTTGAGAACCACTGGTCTATGCGACCTCAAAATATATTTGGGAGCATGTGTGCGAGTGCATAAAATTGTTGTGTGCGACCAGTTTTTACTGCAAAATGTTCACTACATGCGCGGATTCGGGAGACATTCACGCAGAATGCATCTCTAAGCTCTTTGTCTGCACTTGAAACGCGAAACGCAGCGCTCAGGAATGGTTTAAAACAGTTGTTATGTCAACTTCCTGCAGTAAATAAAGCCAAGTCCGTAATGATTGCCCCGCCTTCGCGCTCTTCTTATTGGCCCACCACTGCTCTAGCACTAAAGTATCAGCTGTCAATCACTCAGTCAATGCCTTCTGGCTTGGGATGACAGAGAGAGCTACTCCTGCGAAAAATTGTAAAGCGCTGAAGATGAGAATGAAGATAACACTGACAGATTTTGTTTTAGAAACCATGACATCTAAAGTTACAAATAATAACACATCTTACTAGTGACCATGTGCTGAATGTTAATCCACCATCTACACTTTTCCAAGAGTGGATAAAAGACTTCCATTGACTTCAAGTCCGCTATGAAAAGTCTGTGGGATGGAGTTTTCAGGTAACTGTTTGCCACATCTAGCACGAGAGCTACTGTTTAATCCTTCATATAATCGCCAGATGCTGTCCGCCGTTTAAGTGGCAGCTATATGTCAAATTTAACTCCACGTACACCATCGCAAACAGGCTTGCACTGAGGAAACTAATATCGCTACTCATGAAAAGACCGGTATTGCTATTAACATGACGTATGCATATAATAAGGCACAGTATATGTCAAAAGCATCAGTGCAATATCAGACAGCACCCGTAAGAACAGCAGAGTTATATCGTTAACAGATTCATTCATGTCCAGCAGTGCGTGCAGGGCCGGTGAGCGCTCCGTGTATCTTTTGGTCTCTCAGTTATGTTATAAAATCTATTTTCTTGTGATAACGGGATTTCGCTGACACATATTTTCCTCACACTTGCATATATTTATATTTATATATATATATTGTTTGCATGTTAGTTTTATTACTTTTGATTTCAAATGCAATATGTTTGTATACAACTTGTAGTTACGGTGCTTATAACTGGTGGGTGCGGCAAAATTTTGGCTGATGCGCATTCATTTTTTAAGTTAGGAGCACCGGTGCTACTAAGCAAAAAGGTAAATTTTCGAGCCCTGTGTGTGTGTGTGTGTGTGTGTGTGTGTGTGTGTGTGTGTGTGTGTGTGTATAGGGCTTGACATTAACTTTTTTCATCAATAGCCACTGTGGCTAGTAGATTTCCAACATTACTAGCCAGTCACCATTTTCACTAGCCACACTTTTCTTGTAGGGAAATTATATTTTATTTGCATAAATTTGCATTTGACATGTTAAAATGACTTGATTTAGATGTTGTGTAATGTCCACATGCTTTCTCATTCATTTCACTTCTTGTGTGTATTGTGTATTAGCTTGCTCAGTGTGCATGAGCAAATGGGTTGTGTTGCAATGCAGTCAGTTTTTATTTCACGACTTTTCAGGGCTCAAAATTAAGGATTTACAAAATTTATCTCTGACCACACCAAATAAATATTTCTTAGCCACAATGTTTTTTAATGTGTCAAAACAAGAAAAATATAGCTTTATAGGTGCACTTTTATCTATATATATATATATATAAGATACAAATTGGGCCATTTTGGTGCCTGTCGCTTTAAATTCAAATGAGATTGTGCTCGTTACAAAAGGGGCGGAGCTAAAAGGTCTGTGTATCGGCATAGTGACGGATTCAAAGTCAAGACTTACATCCTATGCTAATGAGGGAGAGATGGACACCAGTGGGCGGGGCTTTCCCCCTCTGATGACACGTAAAAAGTGAGAATGTCAATCAAAGTGTTTCTGCAGACTGTTTTAATCAAGTGTGATTATATAAAAAATATAATTATATGATTATATAATAAATATGAAATATGAAATATGAAATATGAAAAATATGATTATATAATAAATATGATTATATAATAATATATATATATATATATATATATATATATATATATATATATATATATATATACAGGGCTTTACATTAACACCCGCCAACCCACCAAATGCAGATAGATTTCAGCTCTGGCGGGTTAGACAGACACCTACACTAGCCACTTTATTAACTCATATTAACTGTGTGAGTGATTATATGTATGTATATATGTATGTGTGTGTATATATATATATATATATATATATATATATATATATATATATATATATATATATATATATAATGTTTTTTCTCTGCTTTGATTTGTACTGTTCAGCACATTGGTCAACCTCTGGTTGTGTTTAATAGTGCTAGATAAATAAAATTGACATTGACATTAGGGTTGGCCCGATAGACGATTCCACCGCCGATGGCCGACCAACATCGCAATGCTGAGGCGGCATCGTGATCCATCGCCCCGCCCCACATTTATATTGATATATAACTTATTATTTGCATGTCATCTTAATAGCAATAATGGTCTTTTCATGAGCTGTGTTTAATGTTACATAAAGCTGCTGCTTGCACAGCTGACAGCGTCGTGAGGATTAAATAAAGGACATTAGGTTGTTGCTAGCGTGTTGCCAAGAAGTTGGTCACAGTTGTGCAGCGTTGCAAGATAATTGCCAATTGGGTGTTTTGGCTTGTTGTGGCCAGCCTAAGCTGCACCTGTGCAATAATCATGCTGTCTAATTGTTACATAGTTAGTTAATCATTATGAGAAAGGTAAAGGACACCAATAAAAGCATATTTATTAAGTTCTATGACATTTGCTGTCATCTTTACGGACATAACTCTAATCAGCATCTTGATATTTCACACCTGTAAAATGGATAGATTACCTTGGCAAATGAGAAATGATCCCTAACACAAATTTAGACAAATGTGTTAACAGAGAGAGAGAACCATTTGGTGTACATAAAATAGTTTAGGATCACAGTGAAGTGAGCAGTGAGGTGTTTCCAGGACATAAAAGGTGACCTATCATCACTTCAAAACAGTTTTATAAAGGGTTTAAACACAGTTGTGTGTCAGCAGTGTATGAATATAAGCAGCTTCTTATGGTAAAATGTTTGAATTATATTTTTTATATAATCACACTTGATTAAAACAGTCTGCAGAAACACTTTGATTGACATTCTCACTTTTTACGCGTCATCAGAGGGGGAAAGCCCCGCCCACTGGTGTCCATCTCTCCCTCATTAGCATAGGACGTAAGTCTTGACTTTGAATCCGTCACTATGCCGATACACAGACCTTTTAGCTCCGCCCCTTTTCTAACGAGCACAATCTCATTTGAATTTAAAGCGACAGGCACCAAAATGGCCCAATTTGTATCAAAAGCCTAAAAGGGTCAGTTTTAAAGAGATACAAA